AGGAGATGAATCTGGGACCTTCCGCATGCACAGCTACAGCCCTTCCCCTGTGTTTTCGTGTTCCACTTGTTCTTGTTCAACTGATCCATCCCAATGTGCATAAGAAGAACCTAAAGGCCCTTGAGGAATCTAAATCCTGAATAAGCAGCATGCAACACCCCATTTGCAGACCCCGTTTGCCTCCTATGAAGACAATGACCTAATGTTTTTCTGCCTGTGGGGGAGCGTATTTATTTTGGGGGGGGGTATGGCAGAGCACTTCGCTACTTGGGCCTATTACTTCCCAACCCTTCCAGGAGATGGATTGAACCTGGGACCATTCTGCATGCAGAGCAGGTGTTCTACCACTGAGCTACAGCCCCTCCCTGAACCAGAGACGAGCACGGCTCACAATCACCTCCTACCTTTCTGGCAAATGCTCTAACCACTTCTGATGGCCATTGGAGAGGTAGTGAAGAGAGAGCACATTTTTCTTCAAGATGGCTACGTGTTTCACCATGTCCTGAAGTCCCACCAAACTAGCCATCTGAAAACTTGAACAGTCAGACACACAAATGGTTTTATTACAGCCACAGACCAAGAGAACTCACCGCAGAATTAAAAACATACAACTAGCTAAAACAATTATGACTAGAGGATGAGATTCATTTTGTTTCACAAAACCGATACGATGCCTGACTGCAGAAACAAACCTCAAAGCACTTTATGAAAAGAACAAAAGAATGGAATTATAAGGGAGGGGAGGGGAAGCCAATTAAAAAAAGCTATTGAAAGCGTTCCAAAATAATTAAAACCAACAATAAGTTAAAAGCCAGATTAAAACAGGCACCAGCGTTCTATGTGTCTGCATAGGCCAGCCTAAACAAGAGCGTTTTTAGCAGGCCCAAAAAAGAGAAGAGTGAAGGTATTTGCCTAATGTCAATCAGCAAGGAGTTCCAAAGTGTGGGTGCTGCCACACTAAAAGAGCAATTTCTAAAATATGTGGAACAAGAATTATGTGGCACCTGCAAAAGTGCCAGTTCCGTAGATTGGAGCGGTCAAGTGGGCTTGTATGGGGTAAGGTAAGGTGATCTCACAAGCAAACTGGTCCCAAGTCGCTCAGGGCTTTATTTACTAAAAGTAACAACTTGAACTTGGTCCGGTAGCAAATCGGCAATCAGTGCAGGTCTCTATAAATGTACTTCTTTTTTTCAAGGAACCGACAAAATACTACACCTGATTTACGCTGAAATCAGAAAGCTTTCTGCAACCCTTTCAATAAAATGGGAAGAAGCATCCCTCAAGCAAAAGAACACAACGTCTACAGAAGATTTTCCAGGGAAAGAGTTCTTAATCGTGGGAGAATCAACCTCTGTCTACACTCACAATGCAGAGGAAGAACATGATCAACGGGACCCTACATATGGTGTTTAAAAATCTGCCAGTACCCCCAAAAGGTTGCAAACGAGTTCCCCAACTTTCCACCCACCCACCCAAAATTCTCACCTGCCAGCATCCATCGATATCTCCCAGTTCAAGCCCCCAATGTTGGTCTCCCAGGAGCGCAGGAGGCGACCACCGTTGGAGACAGTGATGGCATCTATACGATGGGGTGGTGAAAACAGCCGGTATATTATAAATACCCACAAACAGAGCTCAGAAGAAGCATATCCCTCCTTCATAATAAAGGGGTGGTGGATCTGCACCTGACTTTCCTCATTTTGTTTTGGAACAAGCAAGGCCTCCAGCCACTCCATCTCATACATTTGTGTTCAACTCTATAGGACGGGACGAGGAACACAGGACTCTCCCCAAGACATACCCTCTCCTGGACCAGCTCAGCACCCTCCTTGAGGATTTTTATATGGCTGCAATATGTCCTTGGGCTCGTATAATGGCTCTTGCATGCCCAGACAAAGGATAAAGAGAGGCATATAACTGTGTGTGTAAAAACCAGACAACTGTGCTAAGGTAAAATTCACACTTGTTGCTCCGCCCACTTTTGACTCAGTAGGGAATGCGGGCCTCAAGCGAAAAAACAAGGCTCCCTGCCCCTATTGTAAAACAGCCAAGGACTTGCTGGGCTCACAGTTTTGTCTCTCAACTCTCAGTCTTCCCGCCTTTACCTCTGTATGGCTCCCCTTTATCACATACACAGCCCAACAAGACAATGACAATAATCCACCAACAGCATACAAATCAATATGGCTAACCTTATCCAAAACACCCACCAACCCCACTCACACACAAAAACAAAGATCACCACAGCCAATCACAAACAACCAACCACACCCTAGGCCAACCCCAACCTCTCTCACCACCAAAGAAACACAAATGAACAGCACGAGCAACGCTCACACCAAACCCTACATACATTAAGCAAAATAGGAACATCGCCACCCGACCCCACCCCCACCCATCTTCCCTCCCTCCACCCCCCCATTTTTCTCTCCCCCTAATATCTCAAGAAATGAAACAGATTTGTAAAAATGTTACATGGAAAAAATACGAGAGACATTACACTTACCGGTACTTCTGTAAAACAAGAAAATCTTTAATAATAATAAAAAAAGAAAGAACTTTCAGTCTTCCTTTCTGTAAAATGGGAACACTCAAAGAACCAGAATTTGTGGGGAGGTGAGATCGTTAAGAAATATTATGGCCAGCACTACAGACCTAATAACTCAGCTAGAATACAAATGCTTCACTTACCTTGTCCATGGATCAGCATTGCATCTATCGCTCCTTCAGGAGTTCCTTTGTCCACGTGGCGCCACACTTAAAAAGAAACAGGAGTCCGATGAACAGAGGAAGCTAAATTTCAAGGGTTGGGCTATTTTGTCTAATAGCACCCATTCCTCCCAGAATCGCAGAGTTTGATGGGACCCAAGGGCCATGTAGTTCAACCCTTTGCAATGCAGGAATCGCAGCTCAAGAATCCCTGACAGATGGCCATCCAACCTCTGCTTAAAAACCTCCAAGGCAGGAGAGTCCACAACCTCCCAAGGGAACCCGTTCCCCTGTCAAACCACTCTTATAGGCAGAAAGTTCTTCCTGACGTTTAGTCAGAATTTCCTTTCTTGTAACTTGAAGCCATTGGTTTGAGTCCTACACTCCAGAGCAGGAGAAAACAAGCATGTTCCCTCTTCCATCTGACAGCCCTTTAGATATTTGAAGATGACTATCGTATCCCCTCTCAGTTTCCTCTTTCCCAGGCTAAACATTCCCAGCTCCTTCAACCGTTCCTCATAAGGCTTGGTTTCCAGACCCTTGATCATCTTGGTCACTCTCCTCTGCACACGATCCAGCTTGTCAATATCCTTCCTAAATTGTGGTGCCCAGAACTAGACACTGTGTTCCAGATGTGGTCTGGCCAAGGCAGAATAGAGTGGTACTGTTACCATTAGCCTAATGCACTCAGAGCAAATACCGTATTTTTTGCCCTATAGGACGCACTTTTTCCCCTCCAAAAATGAAGGGGAAATGTGTGTGCGTCCTATGGGATGAATGCAGGCTTCAGGAAGCTATCCGCAAGCCTGGGGAGCTCGTGCGAGTTCCCGCCGGGCTCCCCAGGCTTGCGGATAGCAGCCTGCATCCCGAAGCCTGGGGCATGCTGAGCAGCGCGCCCTGGGCTTCAGGCAGATATCCGCAAGCCTGGGGAGGCTGGCGGGAGTTCCCGCCGGGCTCCCAAGGCCTGCGGATAGCAGCCTGTTCTGGGGGCTGGGGTTGGGGGAAGCTCAGGCTGGGGGGAAATAATTTTTTTTCTTTATTCCCCCCCCCGAAAAAAAAACTAGGTGCGCCCTATGGGCCGGTGCGCCCTATAGAGCAAAAAATACGGGTACTCTACATGCGAAGTTGCCTTAGTCTGAGTTGCACATCCACTCAAGCCCCTGCTCCTCACGCAGATGTTATCACCAATGCGTCTATCAAAGCAATAGGTATAAACAGGCCCTGTCCTGTCCACTGCCTAAGAGATACTCACAGATGTCTCCTGTCCTGGAGTTCAGAGCCGCCATCACATTCTTCTCGGTGGCCACAATGAGCCTCCTGGAGCCCTGCCAAGCTTCCAAGGAGGCAAACTTAAGCTTCCCCACATACTGCTGTCTCCTATTAGAAACACAAAGGGGTGTATTTTTGTTCTAAAAATAATGAACAGCACATAGCAGAAAGTACAGTGGTACCTCAGCTTACATACGCTTCAGGTTACAGACTCCGCTAACCCAGAAATAGTACCTCGGGTTAAGAACTTTGCTTCAGGATGAGAACAGAAATCGTGCTCCAGCGGTGCAGCGGGAAGCCCCATTAGCTAAAATGGTGCTTCAGGTTAAGAACATTTTCAGGTTAAGAACGGACCTCCAGAACAAATTAAGTACTTAACCCGAGGTATCACAGTAGTGAAATAATGTGGTCAGTTCTGTCAGGCACTGAACATTTAATGCAAAACTTCATGCAACTTTCAAAATAATCCAGATTTACTATGTAAACCACTTTGAGTCTCTGTTAGGGAAAAAGGTGGGATACATAAATAAATATTAACATTAGGCAACATCAAAGAACGGAGGGTCTGCAATCAATCAATCAATTATGGGGGTTTGAACTAGCAGTGACTGATCAGGGGTTCTCCCTCTGGACCATTAGGTCCAGACGTGACCGACTCTGGGGTTGCGGCGCTCATCTCCTTTATTGGATGGAAGCTGGGAGTCCAATCACCTCTGGAGTGCACAGTTACAGTTTACTAACCCATTGATTAAACACTACATGCTACTCAGGAATAATTCTCACTGGGGTCCGTCAAGTTCACCCTCAAGTAAGCACACACAGAATCACAGTCTTAAATCTGCAAATTCCCAAATTTCCTCCCTCCTGGGAAAAAAAGCAAGCAAAAACCAGCTTTTCGCAAGGAAACAGAAATTCCATTCTGATCCAAGATCTTATCCTACCTGTCTTGTGATCTCTCCATCCTCTACGTGAAGGTTAACGATGCTGAGAGTGGTATGGACTCAACTGTGCAAGCTGCACGACCCGTCCCGTGGAATACACCAGCTGATACTGGACAACCTCACTAGCAAGGAATATCAGAAGTTGATTAAGTCAGCCGGCTGTCACCACAAGTCTTTGGGGGACGGGGAAGGTAGAGCTTGGAAGCTCCAGGATCTACGTGGTCACCTTCCAGCCTACCAGCAAAGCAGCCCCGAGGAAGGATGACAAGAGCAGCTGCCTCTTGTTTACCCCCAGGACCTAGTAACCAGTGGTAGGCTGCCTCTGAACATGGAGGTGCAACCATCAGTAACAAATGTCTTCAGTTTACATGGAATGACAACTCATATCCAATGATCAGGCTGCTGGAGATGTTACTTCCACAGGCAAAACAGCACCATATGCACATCACCAGACTGGGGGGCACCCAAAGGTTTGCAGAAGTACAAAAAAAAAAAAAAGAGGGGGACTTAGGTTAGAGGAGAAGGGAGCCCCAAGATCAGACCAATGAGAACTGTAAGCATGGAAAGTTGACTGATTAGCTGATCAGAAGGTGGATAAAACAGAAAACCGTGAGAGGGGGGTGGAGGAGGTAGAACAGAATGGAGCAGCTGGAATACATAGGAAAAGGGTCTTAAGCAAGTCAAAACCACTGGTCTGGCTAGCTAGGATTGCCTACACTGACCAGCAGCAGCTCTCCAGTGTTTCAGGTGGAGGACATTCCCAGGCCTACCAGGAGATGAATCTGGGACCTTCCGCATGCACAGCTACAGCCCTTCCCCTGTGTTTTCGTGTTCCACTTGTTCTTGTTCAACTGATCCATCCCAATGTGCATAAGAAGAACCTAAAGGCCCTTGAGGAATCTAAATCCTGAATAAGCAGCATGCAACACCCCATTTGCAGACCCCGTTTGCCTCCTATGAAGACAATGACCTAATGTTTTTCTGCCTGTGGGGAGCGTATTTATTTTGGGGGGGGGTATGGCAGAGCACTTCGCTACTTGGGCCTATTACTTCCCAACCCTTCCAGAGATGGATTGAACCTGGGACCATTCTGCATGCAGAGCAGGTGTTCTACCACTGACTACAGCCCCTCCCTGAACCAGAGACGAGCACGGCTCACAATCACCTCCTACCTTTCTGGCAAATGCTCTAACCACTTCTGATGGCCATTGGAGAGGTAGTGAAGAGAGAGCACATTTTTCTTCAAGATGGCTACGTGTTTCACCATGTCCTGAAGTCCCACCAAACTAGCCATCTGAAAACTTGAACAGTCAGACACACAAATGGTTTTATTACAGCCACAGACCAGAGAACTCACCGCAGAATTAAAAACATACAACTAGCTAAAACAATTATGACTAGAGGATGAGATTCATTTTGTTTCACAAAACCGATACGATGCCTGACTGCAGAAACAAACCTCAAAGCACTTTATGAAAAGAACAAAAGAATGGAATTATAAGGGAGGGGAGGGAAGCCAATTAAAAAAAGCTATTGAAAGCGTTCCAAAATAATTAAAACCAACAATAAGTTAAAAGCCAGATTAAAACAGGCACCAGCGTTCATGTGTCTGCATAGGCAGCCTAAACAAGAGCGTTTTTAGCAGGCCCAAAAAAGAGAAGAGTGAAGGTATTTGCCTAATGTCAATCAGCAAGGAGTTCCAAAGTGTGGGTGCTGCCACACTAAAAGAGCAATTTCTAAAAATGTGGAACAAGAATTATGTGGCACCTCAAAAGTGCCAGTTCCGTAGATTGGAGCGGTCAAGTGGGCTCTTGTAGGGTAAGGTAAGGTGATCTCACAAGCAAACTGGTCCCAAGTCGCTCAGGGCTTTATTTACTAAAAGTAACAACTTGAACTTGGTCCGGTAGCAAATCGGCAATCAGTGCAGGTCTCTATAAATGTACTTCTTTTTTTCAAGGAACCGACAAAATACTACACCTGATTTACGCTGAAATCAGAAAGCTTTCTGCAACCCTTTCAATAAAATGGGAAGAAGCATCCCTCAAGCAAAAGAACACAACGTCTACAGAAATTTTCCAGGGAAAGAGTTCTTAATCGTGGGAGAATCAACCTCTGTCTACACTCACAATGCAGAGGAAGAACATGATCAACGGGACCCTACATATGGTGTTTAAAAATCTGCCAGTACCCCCAAAAGGTTGCAAACGAGTTCCCCAACTTTCCACCCACCCACCCAAAATTCTCACCTGCCAGCATCCATCGATATCTCCCAGTTCAAGCCCCAATGTTGGTCTCCCAGGAGCGCAGGAGGCGACCACCGTTGGAGACAGTGATGGCATCTATACGATGGGGTGGTGAAAACAGCCGGTATATTATAAATACCCACAAACAGAGCTCGAAAGAAGCATATCCCTCCTTCATAATAAAGGGGTGGTGGATCTGCACCTGACTTTCCTCATTTTGTTTTGGAACAAGCAAGGCCTCCAGCCACTCCATCTCATACATTTGGTTCAACTCTATAGGACGGGACGAGGAACACAGGACTCTCCCCAAGACATACCCTCTCCTGGACCAGCTCAGCACCCTCCTTGAGGATTTTTATATGGCTCCATATGTCCTTGGGCTCGTATAATGGCTCTTGCATGCCCAGACAAAGGATAAAGAGAGGCATATAACTGTGTGTGTAAAAACCAGACAACTGTGCTAAGGTAAAATTCACACTTGTTGCTCCGCCCACTTTTGACTCAGTAGGGAATGCGGGCCTCAAGCGAAAAACAAGGCTCCCTGCCCCTATTGTAAAACAGCCAAGGACTTGCTGGGCTCACAGTTTTGTCTCTCAACTCTCAGTCTTTCCGCCTTTACCTCTGTATTCCCGCCGCAGTGGTACCTATTTATCTGCTTGCACTGGTGTGCTTTTGAACTGCTAGGTTGGCAGGAGCTGGGACAGAGCAATGGGAGCTTAGCCCGTTGCGGGGATTTGAACCGCCGACCTGATCAGCAAGCCCAAGAGGCTCAGTGGTTTAGACCACAGCGCCACCCGCTCCTAGACCCACTGCAAGGGAGTGCAGACAATCCTAAAATGAGATCAGCTTTGCCAGGATGAGTTGCACTTAAAAAACCCTACATCTTTCTCCAACCTCCACTGCTCTCCCCATTCCCCACGTAGTTCCATGTGTTCCAACATACTGTTGCAGTCTCTGCTCAGGCTCAGAACTTCAAATGATAAAGAGAGCAGCTACTACCTCATCTCTGGGCAGCATTATATAGATTTGGCTGAAGGATCAGATAAAGCACTGGTGGGAGGGGCTTGGCCTACTGCAGGGAATGCTACACAGCCCCCCAAACCTTTGCAAAACATTGCCGGTTAAGAAATTATTCTGACAGAACCACCACCAGTTTCTTTATAGGAAAGGGCCTCAGCTCAGGGGTAGAGCATTTATTTTACAGTGGTACCTCGGGTTACAGACACTTCAGGTTACAGACTCTGCTAACCCAGAAATAGTACCTCGGGTTAAGAACTTTGCTTCAGGAAGAGAACAGAAATCGCGCAGCGGCAGCAGATAGAGGCTCCATTAGCTAAAGTGGTACCTCAGGTTAAGAACGGACCTCCAGAACGAATTAAGTTCTTAACCTGAGGTACCACTGTATTGATTTAATAAAATTTATATACCACTGGATTGTTAAAGCAAGACCCAAAGAAACTATTATTTTAGCTTTTTGGAAATCTCTTATTAAACACAGACTAAGGCTCACAGCATCTGGGTAGCCTTGTCTAAGCAAAAATGGTTTTAGCAGGCACCAAAAGGTATAGCGAAGATACCTGCCTGATATCAACAGGCAGGGAGTTCCAAAGTGTTAGAAGCATCTACTTGACATGCATTACAGTGGTACCTCAGGTTACATACACTTCAGGTTACATACTCCACTAACCCAGAAATAGTACCTCGGGTTAAGAACTTTGCTTCAGGTTGAGAACAGAAATTGTGCTCCGGCGGTGCGGCGGCAGCAGGAGGCCCCATTAGCTAAAGTGGTGCTTCAGGTTCAGGTTAGGAACACTTTCAGGTTAAGTACGGACCTCTGAAACGAATTAAGTACTTAACCCGAGGTACCACTGTATTTCTGTGGGGTGGGGAGCAGAGAAGAGAGCTAGAAGGTGCAACCAATATTTTTATTTTGAAGGATGAAGCCACTTTCAGGGACCCAGAAAGCGTTGCAGAAATTTTGCCAGGGAAAAGTGCTTTCTTGATCTAAGGCCACGGAGGTGTTGGCTTGGGTTTACTCCAAGGGAAAAGGAGGAACCTCTGAAGCAGAAGAGGGTGTTTGTGGCGAAACCAAGAGTCCAGAGGGGGGGGGTCTCCGATGGGTGCTCTCGTTTCTCCTGGAAAATGCAGAAGCCTTCAGCGGAAGTAGCTGGGGCAGTCGTGGGCTGTCAGATGCCAAGCTTTCTCAAAGGCCTCGACCACGCCGGGCAGGAGGGGACCCTCCTCGCTGCACTTGAGGTTCTCCTGCAACTGATCGATGGTGGACATCCCAATGATCACAGCATCGCCAAGGTCAGCCTAGGGGGGGAAAGAGCAAGAAGAGGGAAAGGTGAACATTGGAAGACTCGGCTTACGAGGAAGGCCAAAGCTGACAGCAAAATTTAAAGAATGTTTGGGATTTTTTATATGAAAAAAGACGCCACATTTGGGGTATACAGTGGCACTTTGGTTTTCGAGCGTCTTGGAAGCCGAACATTTTGGTTTTCGAACCCTGAAAACCCAGAAGTAATTGATTCCGTTTTCGAACGCGCCTCGGAAGTCGGACAGCCCTGTTTAGGGAAGTTTTTAATGACTGATGTTTTAATGTATTTTTAATCTTTTGTTGGAAGCCGCTCAGAGTGACTGGGGAAACCCAGCCAGATGGGTGGGGCATGAATAAAATAATAAAAATAATAAAATAAAATAAAAAACAGGTTTCCCCTTGATGCATCTTGCAGGGTGGTTGTGAGGATAAAAAATTGAGAGCAGGGGATATAAGTAGCATATGTCACCTCCAGAATATTAGACCTACCAGAAGTCATTTATTGATTCTGTTTTGGGAATACAGTGGTACCTCGGGTTGAGAACTTAATTCGTTCTGGAGGTCCGTTCTTAACCAGAAACTGTTCTTAACCTGAGGTACCACTTTAGCTAATGGGGCCTCCTGCTGCTGCTGTCCCGCCACTGCATGATTTCTGTTCTCATCCTGAGGTAAAGTTCTTAACCCAAGGTACTATTTCTGGGTTAGCGGAGTCTGTAACCTGAGGTACCACTGTAGAACAGTTTAGACCTGGCCTCAGACGCACACACAAACTTCTTCCCCGTGCCATACTGGGCTGGCAGAAAAGTTCAACATTACCTGCAGCTTTGAGTGATGATAGATCCAGCGCAGGGCGGCTGAAGTCAAGCTGGGTGTGTCCGAGCCATACGCCTCGTGGAGGGCTTTCTCGACCAAGTCCACCCCCTGGAAATGATGCTTCTTCCAATATCTGCAGAGTTGTTTAAAAAAATAAAAAAAAATTAAGGTCATTTACATTCTGCATGTTTAAATGTGCATATCTGAATGAATCTTACATAATAAACAAAGCAAAATGGCAGTAATAGATGGCAGTTACAATTGTATCAGGCCATCTGGTCCACATGCAGGATGCAAATTCAGCACCTGGTGTTCAGAGGTAGACTGCCTCTGCACCTAGAGGTTCCATTTAGTGCCACGTCTAACAAAATCACTCCCCTAACCCCATATTAGGGACGCGGGTGGCACTGTGGTCTAAACCACAGAGCCTAGGGCTTGCCGATCGGAAGGTCGGCGGTTCGAATCCCCGCAATGGGGTGAGCTCCCGTTGCTCGGTCCCTGCTCCTGCCCAACTAGCAGTTCGAAAGCACGTCCAAGTGCAAGTAGATAAATAGGTGCCGCTCCGGCAGGAAGGTAAACGGCGTTTCCGTGCACTGCTCTGATTCGCCAGAAGCGGATTAGTCATGCTGGCCACATCACCCGGAAGCTGTATGCCAGCTCCTTTGGCCAGTAAAGCGAGATGAGCGCCGCAACCCCAGAGTCATCCGCGACTGGACCTAAGGGTCAGGGGTCCCTTTACCTTTAACCCCGTATTTATTGCTCTGACCTTTTTCCTCCAAAAAACAAGAACTGCTTCCCAACATTAGCAGTTTAATTTCTTGCCCCTGTGTTCAAGAAGCTAGCCTCTTCCTACATCAACAGAATTGAGTCATCCCCTGCCTTCAAGATGCAAGCCCCTTTTGCCATCTTTAGACCCACCTGTCCCTATAGATTTTGGCCCAGTCATTGCCGAAAAACCTGCTAGCTGGCTGCTGGTTCGAGTCTTTGTCTTCGTACTTGTACCTCCCAGTCAGGAGCCCTCCTGCAAGAGGTGAAAGTGAATGCCCAGACGTTAGGGACTAGAATCCACTCCCTTCTCACCCCACAGCTAAATCTCCAGCACCTCTTTGGATTTCTGTCTGTCATTCTGCCCATAAAACAGCAACAATGACGCATTTAATAAATATGCATATTTTGTGCAAAGATCCCAAGGCAGTTCACAACAGAAAAAGTACAAAATGGGAACACAAAACAAAATCAAGACCAATACCCGCAAAACCCCCACACACATTTAAAAACCATAGATTGTTAATCAGCCTGATTGAAGAGAAACATTTTCGCCTGGTGCCTAAAGTTTTGCAGCCACTGGAACCACCCCGTTCCTTGCCAGACCCGTACCAGCCAGCGGATTATATGCGTAGAATCGAATCCCGAAATGTCTAAGGCATGGCAGCAATTCGGTCTCCACTTGGCGCGTCGTAGCGTTGTACATGCCCTTTGGGAAAAAGACAGTAAAAAACAAAATTCATAAAGAAACCTTGGAGCAGACCGTTGTGTTGCAAAATCCCTTCTGCCCACTGACCGAGGGAACTGCCACTACTACAGGTGCCATCGAACACCCGTTCTGCATTTGTAAGAAACTGGTCATTTATTGTGGCGGCACCTTTGGAACTTCCTGCCGATTGACATCGGGAGAAGGGAGGGAAGAGAGAGATTGCTCTCTTTCCAATTATGTTGTGGATTTTTGTGCTTTCATAGATACTGTAAACTGCCCTATGAGCCTCGGATGAAGGGCAGAATAGAAATCTAATAAATCATCAACATCATCAGGCCAGGCACCAGTGTTTCCCCAATGGGACATCTGCAAGCGAGATTCAAGACCAAGAGCCCTCTCCCCTCCTTCAGTTTCCAGCAATTGGTGTTCATCCAAT